ATATATATATACATATATATACATATATATATACATATATATATATATATACATATATATATATATAATATGATAATTTTTATTATATTTCATAATATGATAAATTTTTTTTCTTGCCCTATCGAAAAGCTAATCGTCCTATTAATTATGTCATACCAAAAATAATAATACAATGGTGGCTAACACTGACGACGCGATCGACGACGATGTAATCATCGTCACGGGTCGAGAGACCTTCCGTACAAAACAACCTTAACTCGTTTAATTACAATGTATCACACAGATTAACCGGTTGTTCTATTACAGTGTTCACTTTACCTTTCGTAAATTACCAAAACAAAAGAAATGGCGGACTAATTAATATGGCAAAATCACAAACACGTTGCCCGCACCAAAAATAATTCCTCTCGAGCCGTAACGAATGGGCTCCGTGGCAAAACCCGATACCGCCACCACGTCCACACCACCGTCCGCCGGCCGCGGCAGCCGGAAGTTTTACTTCTTCTACGGCCACCGCAAACCCTCTCAGAACCGCCCGGTCGTCCGTGGTGGCCTCTTCTCCAACCGCAAAACCCTCCCTTCCTCCGCTGCCTCCGCCGCCGTCGCTGTCCTCCCTGCCGTGGACTTCCGCGACTGGGATCCCGAATACGATATCAAGCCCGCGCCGCTCCCGCCCTCAGTTCCTGCTGCCGATCGCCGCCTCTCCCCGCTCGCCCGCTACATCCTCGACTCCCTCCGCCGCCACCGCCGCTGGTGCCCCGCCGTGCTCTCCGACCTCCGCAAGCTCCGCCGCGTCCCCCCGGACCTCGTCGCCGAGGTCCTCCGTTCCCGCCCCCTCCTCGACCCGTCCCTCTCCACCCGCTTCTTTCACTGGGCCGGAAAGCAGAAGGGCTTCTGCCACTCCTTCGCCTCCTACAACGCCTTTGCCTACGCCCTTAACGATGCTGCCCGCCCCGCCGCCGCTGACCAGCTCCCGGACCTCATGCTGGCCCAGGGGAAACCCCCCTCCGAGAAGCAGCTCGAGATCCTCGTCCGGATGCACGCCGATGCCGGACGCGGCCTCCGGCTCTTTCACATCTACCGGAAGATGCGGGGAAAATTTGGCGTCAAGCCTCGCATTTTTCTTTACAATCGAATATTGGATGCCTTGGTTCGGACTGGGCATCTCGATCTCGCCCTTTCCGTGTATGATGACCTCAGGGCCGACGGGCTCAAGGAGGAGGCCATCACCTTCACGATCCTTGCCAAGGGGCTCTGCCGTGCAGGGAGGACAGATGATCTCCTACAAGTTTTGGAACGAATGCGGCAAGAATTGTGCCGGCCAGATGTTTTTGCGTACACTGCGATCATAAAGGTTCTGGCTTCGGAGGGGAACGTGGATGGGTGCTTGAGAGTGTGGGAGGAGATGGCGAAAGATAGAGTAGAAGCCGATGTTATGGCATACTCGACGATGGTTTCATGCTTGTCTAAGGCAGGGAGGGTAGAGAAAGGTTGTCAACTGTTTCACAAAATGAAAAGAAAGGGGCTTGTGATCGACCGTGCAGTATACGGATCGTTGGTGGAGGGGTTTGTGGCTGAAGGGAGGGTTGGTGATGGTTGCCGGCTGCTGGAGGAGATGGTGGATGATGGATACCGGGGCGATCTGGGTATTTACAATTCCTTGATAGGAGGCTTGTGTGCTGCTGGTAGAGTTGATAAGGCTCATAAGCTCTTTCTTATTGTCATTCAGGAGGGACTCATCCCAAGCTTTGAGACTGTAACTCCCTTAATGTCTGCCTTTGCTGATACAAGTGATATGAGTAAGTTTTTTTACTTGGTTAATCAATTAGTGGAGTTGGAATTGCCAGTTTTGGATCATATATCCAACTTCTTTACATTCTTCATCGCTAAAGGAGGTAGAGAATCAAAGGCATTGGAGGTGTTTGAATCATTGAAAACAAAAGGGTATTTCAGCATTAGCATTTACAATATTCTTATTGAACGCCTTCACAGTATTGAGGATGGGAAGCATGCACATGCCCTGTTTGAGGAAATAAAATGCTCCAAAGATATTCAACCAGATTCTTTTACATATAGTTTAATAATCCCTTGTTTTGTAGAAAAAGGTGATATTAGATATGCATGCTCCTGTTACAACTTGATGATGGAGAATTCTTGGACACCCAGTACTGAGGCTTATTGCTCTCTTGTGAAAGGGCTATGTAAGATTGGGGAGATCAATGCAGCTATTACACTTGTTAAGGATTGTTTGGGAAATGTAACAAGTGGGCCTATGGAGTTCAAGTATGCATTGACTGTTCTAAACACTTGCAGATTGAAGAAACCAGAAAAGGTAATAGAAGTTTTGGATGAGATGATTGATGAAGGTTATCCACTGGAAGATATCATATATTGTGCTATCATGTTTGGTTTCTGTAAATATGCAAGTTCAGGAGAAGCAAGAAAAGTATTCGCAGTTATGAAAGATCGCAATCTTCTTACAGAGGCCAATTTTATAGTTTATGAGGAATTACTTAATGAGCATCTGAAGAAGACAACTGCAGGCTTGGTTATATCTGGTATGAAGTTTTTTGGTCTTGAGTCTAAATTAAGATGGACAAGCAACTTGGATTGACCATGTCGATCAGTTGAAGAAAATGCAAGGTATGGCCTATGTTATCATCTTGAAGACTATTGGTTTTATCTGTTTGTATCTCTATTTGGTTTTCCACATGGCCTTAAATGTGTAAACACAATTTGTGCTGGGTATCTGTGACTAGATTTATACTGTTTCTTGAGATGTGTTTAGATGTATTTTGGTTCAATTATTCAGGCTTGCATCTTGTTAAACCAATGCTTGTGCATAACATTAGGATAAGAATTGCATGATATATAGGCTTTCTTTTTCATTTTAGTTTAGTTAGGCTGAAAATTTTGTTGCTGTCTTTTATGTTGGATGAATTCAAATCTCATCTTAAAATTGTGTTGTGTTCTCAAGTAAAATGATCAGATTGAAATATAACAATGTGATGCTTATTCTAAAAGCTCCAACAGGCAATGTAGCTGAATTTGTGGTAGCTTTCAAATTTACAATCTCTGAAGGCTAGTACCAGCATAAATTGCATCAGCATCTACTATCATTTTTTTTTCTCTATTATGTGGTGTAAACTGTATTCTCTACTTGATGCTTATATCATTTATTTAAAAAGAGAAAATTTCTTATTAGATAAACCAAGGACCACCATACCGTGCCGACTAGTGGTATCAATCCATGGGTGGACCGGTATATACCAGTCTGTCACGGACTTAGCTAGTTTTGCCTAAGTCGTGCGGCACCCTTGCATGTCCGTCCGCAAAGGTCAACCTCCCTGAAACTTCCCATTGTCCCTTAGGACCTACAAAAGAGAAAACGGATTAGAGAAAGTGTCTCACTCGGGATCCACAAGCAAACATTCCAGGAAACACTTCATAGACAATGCAAATTACAAACAGACTTTACAAGCTCTAAACAGTTGCACAACAAAGGGTCAAAATGGTCCACTACAGACTGAATATCTCTTACAAGTGTCTACATGACACGACCTTTATTTACAAGCCTAAGAAGGCCACCAAACCCAACTAAAATGGGGCTGTTAAGCCTTCGACTGTTCCTCTACATGCTATGCAAAGCGTGAACAAACAGAAAGACACGGACATACATAAGTATTACATCAAACATCCTGTTTAGAACTTTGTCCGTGACATTCTTCTCCACTTATTCCTTCGACATCCTCGTTGAAGCCTTTGCCGACATTGCAACTCCTCGCCTTTGCTGAGTCTTCAATCTTCTGCTCCAGCTGCAATGCACCTCTTGGCTCCCAACTGCTCTCCACTACTGTTTTTGAGTAGTCGAACCTTTGATCCGCCATGCTGCTTCAACTCGCCAATGACTCTGAATCTAGTGTGGGGTTGGTTGAGTTATGTTGATCCCTGTTGGTTCCTGCGGATCCTCCAGATGAAGGAAAAGATCATTCGTACTATGCGCCAGTCTCTCAAATGTCTTATGCTGCTTGAACTGGGTGGATGCTTATTGGAGCTCTAACGAGCGTCGCCTCGCAAACTTTTGAAGTTTTGGGTCTTTCCTCCATAAAATTTACCCATCGACTCTTCTTTTACTTAGTTATCACTTCCAAGTAGATTCGTATCACTTCCGCTTTCGATTGTTATTTTGTTGGGAAATGAAGCGAATAATCTACTCTTAGTAGCACTGATCACCATTGGTGACGATTTGACAACTATTGTCTTCTAATATCTTCGAAGGGTCTTTGAACCTGTGTAGAGCTCCTCTACTGGATAGATAAGAGAATTGGGGTACTCGATTTCGCCCATTCTCTTAAGGGTTGAGAAGACAATGGTTACTTAACTTCGCTCGCCTCCTCAAGGGTTGTACTCCATGCATCGAGCTTGTTACTGACCTTCGCATGCTCTTTACTCACACTTCTGAAGCACTCGAAGTGTTTGCACTCCTTGCATTAAGTTAGCTACTGTGATTCACCTTCTCAATGCCATCGAACTTCTGGAATGCCGGAAGTTTTCACCCCAACTTGGAGTAATTCTCTAATAGATTTGGTCGCCTCTGGGATTGTACCGTCTTCAACATCAACCCTGCCGCCTAATCCACTGAGTAGCAAAGGTACAGCACCGCGTATTGCCTGCTTCGTTCCTTGGTCGTGCACTCTTGCATGACCCGAAGTCCTTCACTTGCGGCTATCTTGATGAGAAGCTCGTTGACACCGGTCTTACGAAGTTCCCTGGCCTTTGCCCTTTAGCTTTGTCTCGGTACTTTGAGTTTGCCTCTGTATGCTCCATCTCCTCGGCCCGTTTCACGACCAAGCGCTCTCCCTCTATGAGAGCAAGGGATCAATGACTTTCACGGAAGTCCCGTCTCTGCGTTACCATGGCGCTGTCATGCTAATGGCCCTACTATCCGTTGCCTCACATCTGCATCCCTTTTCTTCATGATCAGTAGATATGTCTCTGTGGCACTCCTCCGAGTCCACCTCCATTCTAACTGATGCTTGATTTTGGGTAGCTAAGTCCTTTTGGACTTGTCGTCGTTTCCTCGCCCCTTTCGACCCTCTACTTCAACACTTTTGTGTTCTTCAAGTAGTTCCCTTTGGTCGATGAAAAGACATATTGCAACTCCCATGCATAGCCTCTGCCATTACGTTGTAGGGTTTGCGCCGATTCTGTTCTCCTTAGCTTCCTTGGTAGCAACGTTCGCTAACTCGACATTGTCCTCTGACTTGCCGGGCTCCCTTAAGAGAATATGGGCTCTAGAGCAGTCCAACTCTCCAGCTGCTTCGATCATACCTCTGCATGATCAAGTCCCACCCATGGGACTCACTGGTACTTGCATTCGAACTTTTCCCTCGATGGAACACAGCCTCCATATTGTCACGGACTTAGCTGGTTTTGCCTAAGTCGTGCGGCACCCTTGCGTGTCCGTCCGCAAAGGTCAGCCTCCCCGAAGCCTCCCATTGTCCCTTAGGACAACCAAAAGAGAGAACGGGTTAGAGAGAACGCCTCAATCGGGATCCACAAGCAAACATCTCCGAAAAACACTTTATAGACAATGCAAATTACAAACAGACATTACAAGCTCTGAACAGTGGCACAACAAAGGGTAAAATAGTCCATTACAGACCGAAAATCTCTCGCACGTGTCCACATGACACAACCTTTATTTACAAGCCTAAAGAGGCCACTAACCCAACTAAAATGGGACTATTAAGCCTTCGGCCGCCCCTCTACATGCTGTACAAGGTATGAACATGCCAAAAGACACGGACATGTATAAGCATTACATCAAACATCCTGTTTCGAAGTTTGTCCGTG